TTGTGAATCCTGTATCATAGCATCCTTCATTTCTATCAAAAATGGAAGCAATTCATTTAATGTCATGCCACCAAATTTACATAAAACTACAGAATAATAAATGTATTATAATTTCTGGCAAAACATCCAGAACCATCTAAATGATAGAAATGTCAGACACAAATGAGTTAATAGCTACATACTGTAGAAGCAGTATGCAGTATCTGATATTCCAGCCACACTGAGCCATTAACGCTGCTGTACACCCACCTCTATAAAACATGTAAATAATACTTTCGTTCTCAGATAATTTATAGTAAAAGTGTGCACTGGCAGGATTTTTCTATCTTATTTAACAAACTTAAACCACATACTGTATACCTTTATTCTTTTCCAGATTTTTCTCATCTGACAAACTGAAAAGATACATTAATTTGAATTTGCTTATTTGAATATAATCTGATGAATGAAACCCATTCTTTTTTTCTAGATATGGTTTCATAAGATACTGTACATGTACTTCAAACAACTTATTTTAAAAGCAAAACCGAGTAAATACACACCTGAAAATTTAAAATTGTGGTGAATGAAAATTTAATTTTATTTCACTGAGGAAATAAGATGATCCATCTAAATGTTTTCTGGAATAGCTACATGGTTATGTCTGAGAACAAATATATCCTGTAAATGGCAACGAAACCTATTCCCTTAGTTTAATAATGTATCTTTGCCTTATTAACCATATCTACAACCACCTGTCAAAATAATCTGTTGTACTGTTTAAATATACTCTACTATATCACCTCAGTACTCTTTATAACTAACACAATCTTTAAAAATTCTGTATTTTCCCCAGTTTCCTTGTACCTCATCATATACCCTTTAACACTTGATAATGGATGCAAGAACTGACAGTGAATTAGTAATATCCAGCCCATTAGTTTTTTGCTGGCATTCAATGAACTTCTCGTAAACTTGTAAAAGTGCCAGTGCTAAAGTTATGGAGCTAAGTATTGAACACCATGTTTAGATTATGCAATACATACTATCAAGTGCCCTCCAATTACTTGACAATAAGTTTATGATCACTATTACTTGACACCTGGATATGAATAAGTGACATACTGTAATGAAGGACAACCACATAAGCAGATTCCTTTTAGTATTCTATCAAGGTTACTGTGGGGTTACATAACTTAGTGATTTTTTTATGATGCTATGTACAAGATTCAAAAGGTAATGTGAAATATTTAGCTGCATGTGGTGTAAGTAGTGACCATGTTGCCAACTCTCTGAGTAATGGTTCTACAGGTCTTTCCTGAGGCACCAGCTTGAGCAAAAGTTCCTTGGTGAATGTTGTTCTCTTGGTGGATGTCATCTTGTCGAAATTGATGTTGATGCTGATTAAAGAAATTCTCTTGATGTGCTCGTCTGTGAGCTTCCTTGTGTCGCCTCATGTGTTCTGCATGCTGGAAGTGGCCGCCCCCAAAGAATGAATCATGGGAACCAAAGATGTCCCCTCCAAAACTTCCACCAAAGAAGTCTTCTATGTCCAAAAAGGCATCACCCTGCATGTATGGAGTGTGGGTTCTCAATTCTAACCTCTGCCTACTCTAAAATCTTCTTCTGACATATGAAAATTTTCAATACAGTACTAATACAATAATTTACTAGTACTATGTATCAGTAACTCTTGATATAACTACACTTTATATCAATAAATAAATTTACTCAAGTAAAATTTTTTATTCAAATACTGTACTGACAATAGTAAGTCAGATTAGTAATTCATATCAAAACTTCATTGATTGTTATTATTCTGAAACTGTACAGTAAAAATTACTTTGGTACTGCAACAGCTTAATCATTCAGTGCCTAAATCCATTAATTAATGTTAAACATGTATTTATTTTGGGTTTCATTATGTATCAAGCTGTTTGATGATCAGCCAGTTAAATTTATTATACTAAAAATATTTTAAGCTGCCCAACTAGTTGTGATTGCTTGTTACATGCAAAATTGTATGGTCATCAGGAGGAGGGCATCACTTCATGCATATACAAATTATGGTAGTCTTTACTGCACATGCCAACTCAGAGGCGAGACAAAGCTTAACCCTTTCGCCGCGTGTCACGCACTTGCCATTCTATTCTGGCTACCGCCAGATGATTTTATTCAGCTTAGGGTAACCTCCCGCTGTGAAAGGGTTAATATAGAACCCAGAGACAAGAGAGCATCTATACATGAATATGCAAGATGTAATTGCTTTACAATTACAAGTGTAAGTATTACCAGTGTAACATTGTACTTGGGTGAAACTTGAAGACCTTAGGTATTTTTCCAAGCCCTCTCCATATTAGTAAGCAGGAAACTGATTCAAGAAAAAAGGTACAGTACTTGGTTAATAGAGAACTCTAAATAATAACTTAAGAAAGGAACATGCCTGTATTCCCGGTAAGAACTATAGCCACTACTGGAATTCAACAAATAATAATGCTTCCCAAACTACAAAATACAACGAGGAACACCACATCCAGACATGCAAGGGAAGCATGTACATATATGGTCATGAAAACATGGACAGTTACTATATAGCAGCAAATGCATGACATTATTAGGTAAATTCAACAATATTATACAGTATACATTTAAACAATTAACTACAGGTATCCTTTGTTTAACAATTGGGATGCATTCCTGAAAAACCGATTGTTAAAAGAAATGATCACTAAATGAAGGACAACGTGAAATAATATCCATGGAGATGGCACGTAATTATGTAGCCGAGTCGCCACCCAGTAGCACTCAAGAGACTGAGCTCCGAGTTATATTATTGTTCAACTCATCATTTTGCGTACATACCCTGTATATGCAATTTTTCTTAATTTTCCTTGTTACATGCATACACAATCATTCATACTGAAAGTGGCAAAAAAGAAAGAATATTAATTATTATAAGGTCAAAAACAAGAAATAAACATTTATTACGTGCTTGGCAATTAGCCCTCAGAGCAGGGGAGCGACGTGGGGTATCTCTCGGCTGTTTTCGGTCTTGTGTCCCATGAAATGATTGCCAAATGGCAATGCAGTATAATTTTTTTTATCATCTATATTTTTGTTTATTCCTCACATTTACTGGTACAGCATACAACTATACACGCGACACACTTCATCCGGACAGTCACCAAGCTGACTCAAGAGATGTGTGTGGCTGCTGCCAGTATGCCACGACATCACTTGGGGGAGGGAAAGTGCGGCCGCCAGTCACAGCTCACTGCATCAAAACATACATTCACTTCCCAAACATACACTCCCATGCTCTTCATTTGTCTTATTTTATAGTTTTATAGTACTGTCCAGTATGTATATGTGTACTGTACACTATAAAACTATAAAATACTGCACTATACTGTATACAGTACAGTACTGTATTTTGTTATTTCTAAGCCACATTACAGTACTGCATTGTAATGATGCGCACTTTGAGCACAGAATCCCCAATTTCTCCAACTTCCCTCCCTAAATTTCCCGGTGAATCGAAAATTGCTAACTGAAAATTGATGATTGTTAAACGAGAAGGAGTTAAAAATTTTATAGCTACCTAAGTGAACGATTGTTAAACAAGGGATACCTGTACAGCGTGCATTTTAAAAATTAACTACAGCTAAATTTTAACAGCTACAGCATACAGTACATTTTATATAACTACACATGTTATACAGTACTTACAAAATCTCTGGAAAATTCGCCAGTGAAGCCTTCAAAATCATCAAAATCAGCAAACAGGTCATCAAATTTGAAGTCATTGAAGTCGAAGGGTCGCTGCTGTCCTCCCCCAGGTTGCTGTGCATAGCCAGCATGACCTACCATGTCATACAGTCTTCTTGATTCTGCATTTGCAAGAACCTCATATGCTGTGAAGAGATTTTTAAGCCTTAGAAACTGTAGGTAAAAAATACAAATATACTGTATAGATAGGTAACATCACCAATATACTCTGTGAAAAATGTTAATTTTTGTGAAACTCCTTATTCTTTTCTTGCCTATGCCCACAAAACAAAGAACCACATGAATACTACAAAATCACCTTGTGACAAAACCTACTGTAATATCTACACATACACTTACCCTCCATATTTGCAAATTAACTTACCGGTATTCATGAAAAAATTATTAGTGACCCTTTAATCAGGATTCATGATCAAAATTCAGCTATCTGTGAGGCTATTAGAAAATTTTTGGTAAATTCTGAGAACAGCACTACCACCATGATTTACTTCATTTCCTCCGATCCCCATCAAACAATGTCTTATTCTCGCTCATAAGAATTTAAAGTGATTTAGATTCCCTATAAATCAATTCATGATAAATAATGAACCACTTACCCCCAGCAAGTTCTCTGAATTTCTCCACTGCATCTTTCTCTTTATTTTTATCGGGATGGTACTGGATGGCCAGCCTACGGAAGGCTTTTTTTATTTCCTTTTCGTCTGCATCTCTGGTCACCCCAAGTATCTCGTAGTAGTCCCTGGCACACGAGACTATGGCAACAAGTGTCAGAAAAAAGCAAGACCATAAGAACAACAGATCCATGGTTGTTCTGAACAGTGACTTGTAGATGCCAAGACAATAATCGTGTTCCCAGGTCCTATACCCCTGTTGAACAGAAAATTTACACAGGTTACTCAACAAATCAAAGCATTTACAATAATATTAGAAGAGTACTAAAATCCTAATCATGAATATATATAACTCAAAGAAATATCAATCAATATATCATACATTACTCTTACTTGCAATCATACTAAATGCTTACCAACACTTATGACTAAAGACTATAGTGTTGACTCATAAAAAAATTCCACTTATTATTGATATTAATACCTTTTACCCTAAGGTAGTTAAATATAAACAAAATATATATACTGTACAATACTTAACTTTCACCAAACTTTTTGTGAAACTCAGCCACGAGAATTATTCCTTAAGAACAATGTACACAGGATACACAATTAAGAATATGAATTACAAAATCATTTATTTGGAAGTTTGCTGCCAACACAAACTGAAAATATTTGGTTAACATCACAACTTATCACCTACACCCACTGAATCATAATACTGCTTTAAAGTTATTAAAAAATGCTCCTCTAATTCTATTGCAAGCAAATATTATAAATTTCTATCTCAAGTTCCCTCTTAAACATAGGATCTCACAAATATAAATACGTTGCAAAACCTTTTCCTAATGAGACAGACATTCACAGTGTTCTCGTGCACCCGAGTCTGGATAGTACAATGTAAAGAAGACGGACAATTCCATAAACAGGTGAAATCATAATAAATTCGATAAGTATTTCTGACCATTGGAATCTAACAACTTACAAAGTTTAGCCGATTTACATCTCTTTTCAAATGTATACAATCACAGTAGCGAAATTATTTCCAACACTAAAAATGAGTGCCGATATAGGATTTCAAATATCACTACAGTACTGTAATTCAAAACCCCTTTACCACAAAACAAAACCAGGGAACTAACACTAAGCTGTGGTTTACATGTGCAGCACTGTACTGGTTTCAATTTGCTGTAAAGAGGTGGTTAACATGTCAAAATTCACAATCAGCTCTTCACCTACCAAACTATCAACAGTTAACAAACCTTTAAGCAGCTATCTACTGGAGAGCTATTTTTAAATCAAGAAAAATATTATAATGCTAATTAATTTTCAAAGACTATACCCTGAATTAATAAAGCAATACTGGTTCATCCCACCAGATTATTCTGCCACATTAAGTCCTCAGATGAAAGAAGACATGATGGTGGCATTATGGACAGTTTGTCGTGTTTACAGCATCTCTGCAAAAAATATATTCACAAGGAAAACTAAACCAGAGAAAAACTAGAAATGTGCCAACAATATCTGGATATGTAACTCATCCTGTTAGTCAATTTAACCATTACACTTCTGTGACCTTTACTTTTCATATACAGACAAGGTTCTAGTGCATGAAACCTCAAATGATAACGCATGTGGATGGAGATACAAAAATTATCTTGAAAGGTTACAAATTTTGAAGTAAGGAAGAAAACAAAGGGGGGGGGGTTCAACCAATGTAACCTTAATAATTCATGCATCGACCTGGTTCTTGACTGTCACTTATCATCTACAGTATACGGACCAATAAAAAAATTTAAAGTTCAATTTAATTATTACGAGCAGTTCAGTTACTATAAAGCACACGAGATTTTGTTTTCTATGAACAATGAGAACCTGAGTGACAAGACAGAGGAATTACTGGACAAGAGCACTTTGGCATAGCCTCTCCCTAAAAGTTGATGCTAAAAAAGCTTTCCAATACAGTATTCTTTAAAATAATTCTAAACAATATGATCTCTGTCAGATTAAATATAACTAATGTCACTTAGTGGTAATAAATTGTGGAATTTTGTATCCTCAATCAATATGAGGCCTAAAAACAAAAACACAAGCAACATTCTTTTCCTCTCTCGAAGAAACACACACACGTTCACTTTCTCACCTGTATTCTTTTATTCACTCAAAAAATTCACTATCTCAAATTCTCACACATACTTCAGCTAAAAAAAAAAAAACATCAATATGTAAGAACATAGACAAAAAAGCCAGAACCTTGCAGCAATTTCTAACATTGGTCACTTACTAGAAGACTAACACATGAATGTTTCTCCCAATATAATTTGAAGAACAGCTCTTAATCAAGAAATCTCTCCAGCAGATAGCTACCTTTAGTGATTTTATTACACCAAATCCCCGTATCTGAAGAACTTAACATAAGACATACTGTAACTGATTACTGTACAACTAATGGTATAACTGAGATCACAGAAAATTAATTAAAATCTTTTTATAAATCTTAACCATGTTTGAGCTTATCTTCACATACAAACCTAATAATTCGTTACAAATCTCCTTTGTATAAATACGTACCACTCTGAGTAAAGGATGACACTCATACCCCACTCAATTACCTTTCAAAAGAGGATGCTAAATCTAATATTCCTGTCTTCCAGGTTTTTATTGCCTTATAATTGCTCCTGCATAAGTTCCCACAGTCCATTAGAGTTCATGACATATTTCTTGGACTTTTTACCAAGAAAGAGAGTTGCCTCTGGGTTTGGGTGATCTACAAAAACCTGAAACACTTTTCTAAGATCTTGACAAAACCGAGGTGGCTCAACTTTCGGAGATGTTGAAAAATTTCTTAATAACAAATCATCTGAAAGTTGCTTGTAAAAACTAAAGCAATCCATACCAGAATAATAAAAGGGATCAATAGTTATTGTTCCAGAATGATAGTCATATATATCATACAACTTCTTGTCTCCAGATATCCAGCGAGAAGCTGATCTAAGGGGTATGTTAGGGTCGTGTGATTTAAAGCATGCAGGGAATATGGAGCCAGTAAGTATGTCAACACCCACACCATATATAATAGGCTGTGGTCCACTACTCCCTTGCACTGTATTTAGTCGACAGGTACACCACAAGGAGAGATGGAAAGAACAACTATGACGTGAAAACATGCCTAAAATCTTAAGTGAAAGGTGTTCAGCCTCATTTCTTGAGGCTTCATGGCTACCAATTTCTGGTGTGTATCCTCCTACAACACATAACTGAAGACCTTCTGCTCCCCTCTCAATGTTCGTGATCTTCTCCACCATGGCACTAATTGCAGCTTCTTCATTTTTACTACCATCAAAATGAGCTACACCAACAGTTCCAGATGGGTGTCTTAGAATAACAATATGGCAAGTAGTGGCATCATCAGAACCTATAATCTTCACCTTTGAATCTTTACCAGGTACAACACCAAACTCTCCCTGTGCAACATACAAGGTAAATTCCGGTTGTACTTGTCTTGCATTTTCATGAACAAAGCTTAGTCCTCTCTCAACGAGACTCGGATAACGGTTATAGAACTCATCGGTAGATTTTGGACACTTAAGCAATGGGGTACCTTCAATTACTATAACCATATCTGCCTATGTTTAACAAATTTAACCACTATGCCATCTATCCTCTTCGGTGACTATCTTTCCTAGTGCAAGTCTTCCGCCAGTCCGCCCTGAAAGAGAAGAGGGAATTTGTCTTCCAAACACCAAAAGGAGCAAAAATTTGAAGAAATTCTAACACTAAGACTCCATAATTTAAGTGGTGATAAAATTAAGCAAACCTTTGCAAAGGCCCCAACCCAAGATGCATGTAATTTCACTCTAGGAATGAGTCAATGCTAGAATAGAATACCCTGTATAATGATACCTTAATGCAACAAATTTCCATTAATTGAAAATAAAAATACCATTCAGGAAATGCACATGATACATGGTCATATAGTACTGAAAAGCTTCACCAGGTATGACTAAACCATTTCCCTATAGATCCAGTGAGGGTCATTTCCTATGGGTTCAGTGTTAGTACAGAAGGAAGCCAAGGCACCTGGAGGAAGCCAACAGTGTTTGGCAGGGTCGTACTGAAAAATACCCTTCTCACAGCCAACTGAACCAGAATCAGAGTTTATGGTGGCAAGAGGCAAGTACACTATAGTTCTACTATACTATCATCTCTGTTCTATACAGTACACTCACCCTCTCTGTCTTGGAATTGTTAGTTAGCACATTTTACCTGGTTTCTAAGCCTGATTTTAACATTCAAGTGAAAAAAAAAGTACTTAAAGGAAGCAAATACTGTAATTAGCACAGACAATAGGGGTGAAATAACCTCAAAGTTCACATGTGAGACTTATCAAAATTACAACATTTTGACTCCGAATCCTTATTAGTGGACCGAGATGTACCTTTAAAAAGAACACACATTTGTAACTTAGTTATGTATTGGAAGGTTCTGCCTCTATTACTTCAACCCTACAGTTGCATAGGCTACCAGTGCCAGACAGGATAAAACCTACTTCTGTACAGTAATTTAATTTTCACTCAAGCACTTTCTCTCATATCCAAATAATTATGATTCAGATTAACCTAATTGCATACAGTACTAAGAATAGTATTCTGATACAGTAAATTCACCTCTAAGATAGTAATCATAAATAATTTTCAATTTTGTTCCTTTGTTGTCATTATTGTTAATTCCCATAGCATTTTTTAATTTGTAATTGTTATTCAGAGATAAGTCAGCTATATATTGTTATAAATATACATCTACACACAGAGTACCACTGTATTTCTTGAGTAGGGTGATGCGGACCCGACCCCCTAAATAAAATGGCCAACAAAAGGTTTTAGTGGTAATGATTCTGCACGAATGCCCCTACTACCCGGACACAGCAGTCCAACCTGTCACCTCTCCGCCCTTTCCTCATAAGAATTAGTTTCTTTATCTGTATGGGACCAAAGCAGATGTCGGAGGCGAACGTACCTATCACCTGAAGTGCGGAACATTATGCTGGGTAACAGCCATTATTGCGTCTGTGCTAGCCAGAACCAAAATTGCACTAGCTGTGGTTGTGCGAGAAACAACCGACCATGTGTGGTTTGCAGAAAGGGAAACAATTGCCGGAATCCATACGGCAAGGAGCCGACACAGGAGGCCACAGGGGATATCGCCCAGGCACAACCGCCCGACAATATCCTAAATGATAGCAGTGAGTCTACTCAACCTGAAAATGTAGTACCAATAAATGCTGCTCCAATAGTAGCAATGTCCACGAGGTAAATGGCAGACAGCCACCACAGTGGAATGGCATGTCGATGGAAAATGCGGTCATATGGGTTACAGAAACTTTCTCAGATTTTGTCAGGTGGTCGCCAGCTAACCTTTTTGAACCACCCAAGTGTGCGGCCACTAAAGAAATGATTCGGGAGATGACTCGCCTCATAACCGAGTACACTCAGGACTGCTTCCTTGCCCCTTTAGCTCTTCAAATACCGTGTACGTACTGGCAATAATACCCCATCTATTCTGTCAGAGGACACACGCAAGGACTAAGCACAAAGAAAATTTGGCAGCAATGAAGAGAAGATTGACAATGTGGCAGAAATGGGCCCTTGATGGTCTCCTATGTGAAGCAAGAACACTGCAAGAGACTAAAATTTATAGGAGACGGAAAGCAAAACACCGATGACATTGCAAGAAAGTTTGGAAACAAAATGCATGTGGGAAAAGTGTCTTTGGACGACAGATCTCTCGCATAGGAATCCTCCAGTGGTGTTCTGCCAATAAACAGACGTTAAAACAACTGAAGGAAAAACATCCCCCTGCAAGCGAAGAGGAAGGCATCAGGTTCCAGGGTGACTATAACCCACCAAATGCTATCCTGTTCGAGAAAATAACAGGAGGGATGGTGTGGAAAAAGCACTGAAAACTCAGGGAGGGGCTGGCCCTTCAGGTCTGGATGCAAATGGTTGGAGTCATTCTTAGCACTAACAAGTTTCGCCCCATAGCAAGTGATCTCTGCATTGCCATTGCAAGAAAGCTAGCAACCTCGTGCTGCCAACACCTCCATGCTTTGACGGCCTGCCGCCTCATTCCCCTGAATATCAAGAAAACATTGGAAGAAATGAAACTTCCCACTTTCTTCAGATGTTTTTGTTACCAGTTAATACCCAGTACGGACTGTAATCAGGGAACCTATGTTCACGTTCCTTCTGCTGTTGACAATAAGGTAAAATAACAAAATAAAACGGTATTTTTGCATTTGTGCACACAACTTTCCTACCCAAAATCTATTATCATATTCGAAAAAGACGTCTAATTATAAGATAATTTTCTTCTATTACATTACCGTCGCAAACGTATAATAACAGAGATGGCACATCCCAAATCTTCCTCTATTTTCTTCCATTAATCTTCCACCATTATCACCTACCTCATCTCCCACACTGCAAGTTTCCTTCATAAATCATCACGCGTATGCATTGCTGTACACGTCACAAGGCCAATCAAAAGCGGGGTTTTTGGGCCACCAATTAAAATTATTTGTAGTTTAATTCGCAGTATATTTTACCCAATAAAATTTGATTTTGATTTTGGGTCTCATATTTTTAAATTCAAATTCATTTCCAATCATGGAAGTCTGTGATGGGTGTCACTTCAATTATATGGAGTTGACTGCCCGTTTTGAGGAAAAACAACGAACAAGCTATAGCATTTTTTTTAGATCTCATGGTGTTCTCCCGACCACAGTAAAGTGTCTTAAGTGTAAGAACGTCTGTAAATATCGTCAAGACCAACATATGTGGCAAGTTGTTCCTTATCCCAAAGACAAAGAAGAGACGGCCAATAAGGTAAGAAATAAGTGATTCCATCATATGGTGAGAGTTAGTTAGGTTACATTAGGTCAGGTCAAGTTTATGTTTTTCTAGTGTTTTTTTTGTGTACAGTATTTTGTATTCGCTTAGCCATAAATTTGTCGGAAAACACACCACCCAAAATCCCTATAACTAAAAAACGGGCAATTTCCAACAGAAATGAAGGTCGAAACCAATCAAAACACAAAAATACACTAGAAAAACAGTTTTGACTTTCTGACGGAGTTGTGTGCACTATTGCAAATTTACCAATAAAACCCCTAACCAACCTACCCTACAATAATGTTATTCCTATCCTACGATTGGTAGGTTAGGTCAGGTTTCGTTGGTTTTATCTTATCCACAAAAAATCATCTCTGTTTTTTGCTGCATAAAAAGCATGTAAGGTGAAACTTGCAAATATTCAACTTGCTTTTGTGTTCACGACAAAAATATTGAAAAACAAAAGTAGAAAATTTTCAATTCTTCCATTGCAAAGAATTTCCTCAAAGTTGATACGGTACTTCTTAGGAGTCGGTTTTGTAAAGTATTACTAGCTGGCAAACCCGGGCTACTGTACTTAATATATGCATTACCTTGGTATGGTTGGGTTGGGTTTCAGGTGATATTGAATTACCTACCAAGTGCCAACTCATCACAGGTGGGTCCCCTCACTAATGTACAGTACTTCACCTTTGTTGGTTAAAGCAACTCACTCAATTCTGGTAAAAACTTACTTTCACTTCCCGGCAGTAAATAACCTTCACATAACCCCAAAAGTTATAAATGTGATGCTGAGGATAACGCCCAAGATACACAAGAAGTATTTGATAAAAATACATGTAATCTAAATAAACCATTTTATTACCTGATTAAGCTGATCTTACCAAATGCAGTATACTCAAAATATCATGTAAGCAATGAACAGGAGACGTAATATATACCTAAATATACCGTACACAGTCATATTTACACTTACAATTACAGTATACACTTACAGTCTTATTATAGGTGTGGTGTTGACAAGTCCTTGTTCTAGTGAACTAATGGCGTCGACCCCACTGTTGATGTTTCTCCTGGCTGCTTCTAATGTCTGTCGTGGCTACCTCTATTCCTGGTAACACTTGATTGTCCACGTACAGTGTTCGTCACAAAAGATACTACGAAGACAACGTGTGCCTCGCTGTTGATGGTCTGCCAGAGTGCCAGTGAGTGACACAAGGCTCAACAGGATTCAAAGATGTCTTCCGTAACCGGAGTTTCAAAACATTCACTCAGCGTTATCTATAATCCCTTCTATTATTGCTCCTAAATCAACTAACATTCATTTTATCTTCATATATAAATAAAAATAAAGTAAAAAATATGTCAGTATATAAACCTTACGTATCACTATCCTTATTTGTCTATAAATGAAAGGTTATTTTTTAATATTGAACTGAACTTAATAAAAATAAATTAATAAAAATAAAAATATTGTGGCTGATGAGCACACCCCTTGGCTGTAGGACACTATCATGCCTGTGATTGGTTGGCTACAAGTGACGTCATGAGGCGCGCTGTACGAATTGATCTATTTAACACATCATTACTAAACTAACTCAATATAACACACTTGTTTAATACTATACCAAGCACACCTTAGTTAATAGTTTATGAGTGTGATGACGTATTAATTTAAAGGCAAAGTCAATCAAATCACATCACACAAATGCTGGAACCGCATTGTTTTTTTGTTTTTTTACCCTTATCTGCTTACTTATCTTTGCACCACATGCACTTAAAATCCCAATGAAATGTGATTTTAACTACTTTGGGGGGATATTGGATAAAATGGAACTTATTTCCGTGGGGGTATTTCTTTCGCAACAATCTAAATGGGATGGATATACAATATCTCCCTTCATTTACAACACAAACCAAATAGAATATGCATTTCTATTGTTTTCCTCTGGTTTCACTTAACTTTTCCACCCAGCTTGATTGTAGTTGTCAACTATCACAAAGTTTAAAGTTTATCTCCCCAATCGTGTAGGAAGTGTTAGCAAGCTGTATGCTGTCTTAAATTTATAGAAATTATATAGTGTGTGTGTGATTCTTATCAGAACATGTAACGTATTTCGGCCTTATCCACCCTGAATTATATATATTTCCAAGACTGAAAGCTGATACTTAGTCTTTTTATTACTGCTTTCTACTTTTTGTGGATATCATAAAGATTACACTAGGTCTACCTGCCCGACTGCTTCTGATGTGTTCTTAACTTATATTTATCTCCCACCAAAGTCCCTTATTTAAGGACCATAATTGTTCGTGAATAAATAAATATATAAATGTATAAGCAGATAATCATTTATATTTATGCAATGGCTGCTAACAATAAAAATGTATATAGCTTATGACAGGAGTCTACGCGAAAGACAGCAACACATTTTCTATAATGACCTTATATATTTATGGTAAAATTTATCAAGACATGGCGCAGCAGTCAGGGGCTGAACGTTAATTCAGTGTAGTACAAGTTTCTCTCTATATTCCTTCCTTGGTATAACACACCATTGTGACATCAAAAGCAGGCCGTTTGCCCGAGTGAGCCGTGAGAGAAGGACATGTTGTAACTGGCTGTTATGTGGTGATTAAATTTTTAGTATTTTTATATTAAGTTATTTAAACACAAGCTTATGTCGCTACTCTTCTGTGTGGTGAGTAAATTATTGGTATTTTTATTTTCATAATTAAGTTACATATGATGTTGGAGAGTTGGTTAACCACTGCCATGGTAGTTTGTCAACCCAACAAGTAGTTAGTGAGTTTTATTCAGTCATCAAATGGAAATTTAGGTGAAGATGTTTTATGGAAAGGTAATTGCAAAGATAAACACCGCCATTTTATATATTATGATGTCTTGGTATTAGTGTAGTTTATATTGGTGTTTGTAGTAAGAAATAATTCGTTGCCGTCGACGATTTAGTGAATTGACAAAAATTAATAGGGTTAAAATTCGTTATTATCCCTGGGCAGCTGCCCACTCCTGAATCCGGCCCTGAGGCTAAGATTCAATGCATAATAATGAAAGTGAGTTTAATCTGGTTTGTCCCATGGTAGACCTCAGGTGATTTTTCACCCTAGATAGAGTAGAGAAAGACCTCTCCTTCACAATTTGTAATGGGGATGGTAAGGAAAATTCTTACCAAGATACTAATGTTTGGAAAGGCAGTTGTCAAAATACCATCTTTGGACCTCAGCAAAGTGTAGATGTCTGTCACTGACCTGTCAGATTCAGAAGACAAAATGTCTCTAAATTGCAAAAACTCATCTAGAGCAGATGCTTCCAGGTCACTGGAATAGGTACTGACAACCAATTCCAGTTGGGCTTTGAGATCATCATATTTCATACTGTCATCCTCCGTTAAGAAACTAAACAGCTTCTTTATTTCTGAGTAGGCATTCACTCTGTGCTCTAATTCATTCCTAAGGCAATCTAATATGGTGTAGAAATTGTCCACCTTGAACTTCTCACGTGGATAAAGTTGAGTTTCAGTGCCAACTGATTCATCAAAGAAATGTTTTCTCTTTTTTGTTCCTTTAGTTGTCTCTGTGTAGACAGGCTCAGCAAAAGCCCTAGCCTGATCTTCTATTTCATCAAACTGACCCTGTCTCATTTCTGAGACGAAGGAGATCAAACTCTCATACAGTTTCACAACTGACAGAAGGTAGGTCTCAACTTTTTGAAGTGATAAGCTGGTGGTTTGACAGACGTTTTTGTTTTGAATAGAACAGACGTTCAGAAAATATTGAAGAAAGGATGTTATTTTTTTTGTGTGATTTTCTGGTATATCACAACAATGTCGAATTACAGCCTACGCAATTCCCAATTGGTAGTGTTGTACCTCAATCCCAACAGACTAGGCAAGAGAGGATAGATCAAATAGCGCCACATGTTATGGTGATGGATCATCCTCAGGGCAAGACACACCTTTTGGAGCTGCTTGCTGACTACAGAAATATTGTAGCCTTGCCAGGGGAAAAGCTAGGACAGACAGATTTAACATCCCATCACATATCGCTAAAGGAGGGAACAAATCCTATCTATGTACCAGCTTACAGACTACCTCATAGCCAGCGTGCTGTAGTTCAGGATATGGTGCAAGATATGTTGGATGAGAATGTTATTACATATTCAAAGTCCCCTTTTAATAGCCCTTTATTCCTCGTCCCAAAGAAGGATGGTGGTTGGCGACCTGTTATTGATTTCAGGCGCGTTAATGAATGTACGATCCCAGATAGGTACCCTATGCCTGTCTTGAGTGACATATTGCAGTCCTTAGGTAAGGATAATGCTGTATTTAGCAACTTAGATTCGCTTAGTGGGTATTGGCAGATACCACTCGATGAGAAATCACGAGCCGCCACTGGGAGAGGTCACAGCATTTAGTATGCCCCTGGGCCACTTTGAGTTCCCACTGCTGCCACCAATGAACCGGCTGGTTAATTCAAAGTTAACCAGGCTGGTACAATTATATTATATTGGGCTTTAGTAACGAAACCCAATTGTAGTTTCTGCTTTTATTAAAAAAAGGTATTGTTTATATAATTCCTGAGTGTAGATCAACCGTAACTTCCACTATTTATGAGTGTGAAGGGAGAGGACGGCGGCTATGTAAATAGACCGTTTAATCACGTCCGTTCGATGTAAGAATACGAGTGTGACTGCCCGTGGGTGCCAGCTTAACCGAGCTGACCCATGTGCTGACATGTAGTCAAATGGGCCGCACCCCAAGGGAGCTACCATTCACATGATATGAGCATGACAACTCATAGCCAGTGGAAAGTTACAGGGGGTGAATTAGAATATAAATCAAATGTAAAGAACCCATTTATATAATACTTCTGTTGATGAGACAGGGGCCATTACAACTGTATTTTTTAGTATATACTACAAAGAACTGAAACAAGTGGAACATTTTGTGTTTTTGGGAAGTAACATTAGCTGTAATGGTAGATGTACAGAAGAAATCAAAACAAGAATAGGGCAAGGACAAACAACATACTGTATAATAATCCAAAAGACCTAATGAAAAGGAATATTAATTTCAATTTAAGAAAAGGGCTGCTGAAAGGCTTTATATGGCAAGGACTGATGTATGGGTCAGAAGCGAGGACGTTTTCAGTAGACATCAGAAAGGTTGGAGGCCTTTGAAATGTGGTGTTATATGTAAATGCTAAGAATAAGCTACATTAACAGGAAAACAGTACAGTAAAGTAAACCCTTGATAACTCAGCAATTGATAACTCAGAATTTCACATAACTCAGCATGGATATGGTCTCAAAATGTATTAATATAACTCAGGAAATTCAGAGATATATAAAATTATCTGGGAAAATTTCGGCATATCTGGCCACCTGCATCACTACCATGCATCTGTGTCACCTACCATGTCTCTTTGTCACCTACCATGCCTTTGTGTCACCTACCATGCCTTTGTGTCACCTACTATGATGCTTCATTCTTTGCCTGCAGTGCTGGTAAGTGTTAATTTTTACATATACTGTATGTGTACATTTACATGTACTGTACGTACACATATATGGGTCGATAATTTTTTATTGTTGTATTTTTGGGGGAGGGGGAGAAGCGCCGCGATAAGTCGGAATTGGGATAACACGGCAAGGTCAGAGCCCCATATGTGCTAACAAATAATCAAACTGCTACCATATATAGGAGTACTGTACAGTAAACAAGAAGCCAAAATGCAATTTAACAAGTTTATTATATCATGTCCCTTATAAAATTAGATCCAAAGAAATAAAAATATAATCTCCAATTGATTGTAGAAGCAAACTTTATCACATGCTCATTTAAGAGTACAGTATTATTTTTCCCACCACACTTACAGTACTGTATACTGTACTGTATAGCTTACCTGTATTTGTTCACCTCTGAAAATTGGAAGCTCCATACAAAGGGTTTTATTAGTGCCAAGTTGTTGTGAGTGTGCTAAGTATATTATATGTGTTACAAATAGTGCTATGTTATTTATTACTGGGTATCTATTATAAAGATTTCCATCTGATGAGTACCTGATGACCAATGTTTGTAAAATACCAAAAAAAAAAAAAGAACTGCAAACAATCCTGGAGTAATTCTGATTATGTCAGGATGGATTTAGTTGTTTTGTGTTAGCTAATATGCTGTACTGTACTGTACACCAGTACAGTACAGTACAAGTACATGTAACTGGTTTTGCAATTATTTTCATGGTAATTTTTTTAAACAGTGGTCATTTCACAAACTGAATGCAATGCATAAATGTTGATGTCCAACTATGAGGTTATTCTCATCATTGTAATTATTCATCTTGCAACTTTGCAGCGAGGTCATCGGGTAAATTATAAAGTCCACACACCTTATTAGCTGGCAGGGACACATCTGAAGGCAGAAAATGTTAGGTATTATAATGTTTCATGATGGAGAAATTCAAAATACTGTATTAAGATTGGGTTAAGTAAGAATTTATTGCATTTTTAAAAAGAAAATTATAAAGGAAAGTTTTTAATCTTTCAAGGATTCATTTTTGGAACTGAGGACAGTACTGTACTGTAGATAAAATACTTACAGAGACCAAATACTGTACTTTTACTTATTTTAATTACAAAATGCAATTTTTTGCACTTACCAATTTTCTTGGGGTACGGCAAACCTAACTTGTTCATGATCTCAATAAATTCTTCTTTGGGTTTAGTCAGCCTTGGATTAAATTCTTTCTCTTCAGCTACAGTTGTTACAGTCTGACCTACAAAAAATTTAGAATACGTACAGTGTCCATGTACCTGTATTTCAGTACAGTACCAGGAAAATAAAAATGAAATTCCGAGAAATTCCAAAAATCATCTTTCTGTTCTAGGCATTCAAATGAACTTCCGAGAGATTGCATTATATACCGAGTACTGTACAGCATGTGGGTGGGCTAGCTGCATAGAGAAGTTAGGTCGCTGGCTCAGAGTGCTCGTCTGTTGTAATTAGCTACTAATGTACTCTCATGTGCCTACATAAGACGCCTATGATTGGCTAAGGTATCTCACATATAGAGCCGAATCTAAATTCTCAAACTTGTGTACATACATATTTTTTATCTTTTTAACTAAAGAAAAGGAGAAAACAGTACTTCTAGGTACAGTAGAGTCAAATATGATTTTAAGACCATTTCAGTACATATTTTAATGAAGCTTATGTGAACCAGTGAGAAATTCTCTCATGTTTCACTAGGGAGAAAATCTAAGTACAGTTTTTTCCATTGGCTCATTTCTCATTGCAAAGGGCAAAAATTTTATTTCAACAAATATTTTAACTGTGACTTCCAAATATATTCAATGACTAAAACATCAAGAGAAGGTTTTATACATATCTCTCCATCAAGTTGCAGAGGGAAATCCAAGAAAGATATCCACTGTACCCACCAGTAAAAAAAAAAATTAACAAGTATATTTATCTTCACAAATACACTGTAAATGCATTGTACAGTATATAAACCTATCAAAAGTTTACCTTTATAATCATGAGCTGGATAGAGTAAATAGTCATCAGGGAGACTTAAGATCTGAGAGTGCACAGACTCATACAGGGTGTCTGAAGATCCTTCCTGGAAGTCTGTCCTTCCACACCCACGTATCAGCAAGGCATCACCAGTGAACGCAAATTTCTTATCATGACTCACATAAGTTACACAACCTGGGGAAAAGCCAAACTTTTAAATATATTAATTTTAATCTCATTTCAAATTCTTTTTAACAAATATTGTATCTCTGAATGAAGCAACAGAAAATGAAAACAAATTAAGACATCAACAAAAGTTTTACGCACCATTTGTGTGACCTGGTGTATTTCGAACCTCTATTTCATGATCACCAAAAGAAACTGTTTCCCCATGTTCAACATGAACATCTGCTATAGCACCTGAAACCTGTGGAAGCATCAACATAAGCATTAATTCCTCCCACAGTCTACAGTATAAAACCAAAATTGGCTGTTTTTTGTAAATTGTCTTTAAAATGGGTTTAAATAGTTATTTTTATATTGCAATTAGATTTTCTACTGTAGTGGATCCTCTCCCCTACAACTGACGACTGAGCTCCTGCCGCGCGCCTACCAGCCAATCAGCGTACAGCCAGCGATGCCGGTAGACCTACTCCCCAGTGCGGACGCACACGTAGCAACTCCAGGAGAGGCCATAGCTTCCCACGACATGCCAGGATCACGGAACCGGGCACCTTTCGCGTTCTCCTCCGTGATTAGCTCTGGCGCTACTCTCACCTCGAGTTCTGAGCTGGCAGAATTGTATAAATACGGGCGTGGCTGGCCAGGGAGACGATTCTACTCTGACCTACTGGACCAGCAAGACCTCTCTACAGCACCTCACCAACCATCTCCCTCAGAAAGCTCCTCGCCCAACAGGACCTCTGAGCAAACTACTCATCACCTAGTAACTCCTTAGCACTGCACTGTACAACAATATATATACAGAAAATGCATTGTGAGTTTCTATTCTACCTCATTCCTGAGTGTGAGATATCTACATGTATGTATGTTTGTGAGCCCATACAAAGAGATAATAGACAACCAAAGAGAATTGACAACTGGCCACATACAGTACGCTACACTACATTAAAATGGCCTTTACATAAAATTTATTCATACCCTCAAAGAAATGTATAGTTGAACAAAATGGAAGAGCTTTCTATCATTTATGTGCAGCTGTCCATCATATATCAGTTTGGTTAATGTTGTTTTCTCTTCTAAGCAAGTCTTAACATTTAAGCCATCTATGTAATCAAACTAGGTATTATTTCCTACTTTAAACATAAATCATCACTAAACATTTACATATATCAAGAGAGTAGAATGTGTGTAAAGAATCTGAGCATGGAGATGTGTAGAAGTCTACTATAAGAGTTAGAAAAAGTCCAACTCCATAAATTCAAATGAATTTATAAGTTCAGTGTTTAATATACTGTACACAGCAGTCAATTGTACATTACTGTATATGGGACGTCAGTGGCATAGCATTAGAATGCTTGTCTCACTACTGCAGCTTGCGTCGGATTCCCATTCAAGTCAGATGTGAGATGGGTATTGTCCGATGTGGCCCTACTGAACATTGCAGGTTTTCTCGGGATTAAGACTAATGCATTCATCCATTACTTTCAGTTACATTAAGGTAGCCATCTTCATTAAATTATGATTAAGTACTGTACATAAAAGAACTGAAGTTAACCCCCTTCACTATGGGGATGCCACTTTTCATATTTTATTTGGCTTACCACATCCACAAGGGGTTAAAGTCTACTGAGATGATACATTGCCACGTGCCCTTATGATTATTCATTACCTTAGCTATGAGGGACTGACAGCCAGGTACAAGTTTCTTTAGCAGGCCTGTACCAGTGATGTGATCAGCATGGACATGAGTGTTCACTGTCAAGAGATACAAAGAATTAGTATTGTACAGTATACTGTAATTAATGTCTTATAACGGATTCAAAGTTTACATGATAACATTTTAGCATATATTTTTCTTAATTTTCACCAAATCAGTTTACTAGCCATTTGGGTGACTGGTCTAACCAGTGTTAGTACATGAGAAAACCAGAGTCTGGGAAACCTGTGATGATTGGTGGTGATTTTTCCTGTGGTAGGGCTTCTAGGCTGAGACCAGAAAATATAAATTCCCAGTGCATCGTGTGATTATCATTGCACCACAATACAAAGGGATGCATCACAATATAAAGGCATGCCCATAACGTTAATACTAACACAAGTGAACTCACTGACATATTTCAGGTTTAATCCTAAGTCACTGACTAAGTGTGCATCTCTCTCAGCCAGCTCAATGACAGGGTCAATAAGGACAGCATCCTTTGTGTTGGCATCAGCCAGAAGGTATGTGTACGTGCAGCTCTCACGGTCAAACAGCTGTGGACATAAAGTTTACCAGTCAATATTCATTTATTGTATTGTACATTGTAAAATGATCTAAAGAAAAAAAAAGATTGTTAATTTTTAAATTTATATTTACAAAAACACAAATGGAGCAAAAAATTGCAATGGTGTTCTGAAACTGTTATTTTATTATTATTATTTATATACTGTATACAGTATATATATATATATATATATATATATATATATATATATATATATATATATATATATATATATATATATATATATATATATATATATATATATATATATATATATATATATATATATATATATATATATATATATATATTTTTTTTTTTTTTTTAAACGGAGATTAGCCCACCCAGGCACAGGTCACAGACCCACATTGGGGCATGGGGGGCGAAAAATAAAAATAAGTAAAAAAATAATAATACTGTAATAATATTAATAACAATAATGAACACAAAAGAGGGAGAGAAAAAAAAAGACCAAGAGTGAGAAACGATAATGTATGTGTATTGTCAATGAGAAACAATATTATTGAGACCTACAATTGTGTGGAAATGAGGCAGAAAGTTTGTCCAGCAACCTGGGACTTGGTCATAATTTTTTTGATGCCATATGGCAGCAGTACTTGTAATGTAAAAGTAAAATCTACCAAGGGTAACTTTTACAGTGTATTACACGGAGTTTTCAAACAATCGGAATTCCATTTTCATTGACCTTTACATGACCAGATTTCTTATAAGGCTTCTACTGTATAGTACGTGAACTTGCTCGTGCGGTCCAAAACCCCAGATCTAATTGAAATTCTACAGTTTACAGTAACAATAATACACTAGTTTTTTCTCCCCTAATCGCTTCAGTATAATGACACTTTTTCTGTCTGTGGGGTGGGCAGTGGTCACGGTGCGAGATTTAAAGATTGGCATGGGACGCGCTCCAACCCCCGCAAACACCCGTCTCCCCCAACGTGGTCACGTGCCACCCCCCAGGGCACCACCAAGCTCTGCCTCACCCACACCCCATAAATTCGCCTGCTCCCCTCAATTACTGTTACTGAGACTCAGATCAACGATACAGCACCGAGACGAGCCGATTAGTTCATTAAATCACATGAGTAAAGCTCTGCTATAGCCTTTACAACTCTGTCGTCACTGTTGTATCTACTTTATAAGGACTGAATAGCTTCTAAGTGTTGTACAGTACTATAGTAGATTCAGGTTCCAGGTAACATGGACCTCATCTCCTAATAACCCTTCATCTAACTGTAACCTAACCTAGTCAACAAGCTAGTTAGGAATGGACCCCACGAGGACGGATCCACTTCCAGACAACCGGTTACATACACGGCGCCGTTTACACAAGTCATGTTTTCATAATCAGTATCTTAACGAAATGACGTAAAATACAACTTGATTATTTGCATATCTCCGGAATTAATGAAGTACATACAAGTTGTCTTTACTGGAACTTCTTATATCATACGGCCGAACCTAATCAAAGCCATGGTTAAGGATTTGTAATAATGCCTTTCAGTAATCAACACCCAACACTAGCCATTCAATTAGCTGTAATTTAATATTACATTTTCCTCAATTTAATGCAATATACCAAGGGATTAAATACCACACAAACGCCAAGGATGTCGAGCAAATGTTATGAAGCCATTAGAGTATTCAATACAGACTCCGTGTCCCAGTTAAGAGGGGTCTCAGGGGAAAATTATCAGCATTACTATGATTATTTTGTTTTGTCTTGTGGGTGTGTATTGTGATTCCTTAAGAGGATACTTTTGGTGTAACGGGAATGGGTCTCTTATCCACACACCTCTGTTTTCCCTTTTTGTGGCTGTGGGGGGAAAAAGATTTAGCTTTATCGCACTGGGATTAAAGAATTAACACACTGGCGATAATCTTTAAATAAGTCTGTCTTTTTAGAGGGGAGGAGCGGATTTTTTTTTAGCATTAAGGCGCCTTTTGTATTTACATAGGATGGGAGGCGTCCTACTGGCAAGCGACGTCATTTAATAACTACGCAGAAACTATTCAAATAACAAATATATCCAACATTTATAACTTTGTTAAATTAAATACACACCAAAAAATAACATTATAAAATATAATTCTTTTTTGTTGTGGGAAGACTACAGTACATTACATATCACCGTTTATTAACAGCAAATTTATAGAAGTGTGCGTAATGGTTGCCAAAACACGTTGTTACTATGTTAATATGGCCCCAATACACCACTAAATTACAATAGCATGAGCCTTGACAATTACCATATAAGATAATTCCGGCAGGTGCCCCACGCCGTCCATCGCAAGGGCGTGGGGAGTCACAGGTGATTGCACACCACACCGCCAGCGAACCACGTGCTCTTGTTATTGTTGTGGTCCGTCTCGGACAGGGAGGAGGGGAGGGGAGCAACCTTGATACACAACCCTCACTCGTATTGATCTAAAGTCTGCAGTTAATTCGCTTTTTTCTTCGTATAGATGAAAATTAATGAAGCTAATGTGGACGATTTATGAAAGTTTTACGAATTTATGCTACATGTGAGGTACTACTTTAAAGAGGAATCCAAGAGAGAGAAGAGGTGTGAGGTGCATGCAGTCCTCGTAGTCTTTGATGCAGTGTAGTGTGGTAGCGAGTGGAGAATGTTGATGGTCTGGCTGGGTCGTCTCACAAGGTCGCGAGCGACTTCACACTCCTGCCCTCATAAGGATAACGGAGGTTAACCGCCACTTACGTAAATAATGTGTCCCCACGGTGTGTTCAAGACATATTTCCTGTTTTAGCCAACAATATTTGGCGCCACTGTATCTTAAAGTTCACTCGCTTTATCACAAAAGACATTCTAAAGCTCACTAATGCTATCACAATACACTGTAGACATGTTTTAAATAAGTCGAAGATAAAAAGCAAATTAATGACTTAAGGGTAATTTAATCCAGTAGAAAAGTTAATAATAAACTATTCGGAAAGGTTTCTTAATAAAAAAAATCTATTAAAACTATTTGAGGAAAATTAATAAACTCGGACAGCTGAACAGTCCCATGAACGTTAACTGTAGACGTCATCCATTCTCCTTCACTATTAAGAATTTCATGAGGTACATCGTACATGGTCTAGTGAAGGCACTCTGAGACATTACCCACATGACTATGAATCATCCACCATCTTTACCTCTACTTACTAAAGGAATATACAAATACGTCATTGTCTAAGACTACACTAACTACATGTATTTAATTGGTATTATATTTATAGTTTTAATTTAAGCTTCGTTAAGTTAATAATCTGTCAATAAAAAGGTACGGCGTAGGGTGGGGTGGGACAGGGCAGAGGTGTATTGGGGTGGGTGGGGTGGTGCAGGGCAGGGCAGGCAGAGGAGTGATGGAGGCGGTACACAGAGGGACGGCCATAACTCGTGACTCCCACCACCAAACTGATATACCTCATTCCTCACTACTACAGTACCCTGATCTAATACACCAGACTATCTACAGACATACATACACACAGACTGATTACTGACGGCGTTATTACTGCTGGTGTCCCCCACATTCGTAATTACGTCATTAAAACCCAGAGATCGTTATCTGATCCCTGGTACTGAGATCCACACGCTAAAATATTCCTTCATAACTGGATACCGGGAAACCCACCAGACTCCCCTGAACTGTATCACCAACTAGAAGGTCAATAGTGCGTCAAAATTGCGCCAAGACTCAAACAACGAGATTCATTCAAAATTCTTTAAACCTAAACTGGGAATCCGGAAGGTGACGAGGTGTGGATAGAGACCTGGGACACCCTAATCGATTCCCAGCAGTCATTATCATTGTGTGTGTGTCCTAGGGCAGCTAACACTCCCTCCCTCCCTCCCTCCCTCCCTCCCACCCTTCCTGTCCCACGGTCTCTGTCACGAAACCTCCCCTTCTCCCACGGTGCCTCTCCTACGCCATGTTGACTGTCAGTGTTCTTGTCCTCACAAAAGAACCTTTACCAGTGACTCCTAACTCTCCACCTCCTGCACACTCACAAGGTAAAACTGTAAAGAGCATTTCAAATCCCACTAAGCTAAGCTACGTTTAGTTAGGCTAAGATTGGGTTGAGCTGGTTTAGGTTACGTTACATTACGTGGGACTTGATCCTACAACACGATATAAATACCCAGCAACACCTTGACCTTGTATGACCTAGTACAAACTAAAGGTATGGCTGACCTAACACAGATCTCGAGGAAGAAATCTGCCTTCCCCCGAAATTTCTAAACACTCCTCACCATCCTCTCTCTCCCTCAATGTGAGAGAGAGAGAGAGAGAGAGAGAGAGAGAGAGAGAGAGAGAGAGAGAGAGAGAGAGAGAGAGAGAGAGAGTATAGCTGGTAACAAAGACATGATACTGTACAACCACTCAGCCAAGGACACCTACACTCATCTCCTGTGAGCTCTGGCTACCACACACACATATCCGGAAAATATTAACTGATAATATTGGCGAACCTTTCCTAAATTACATCAATACAAGCACAGTCACTTCACAGGATAACATGCAGTATTCTCCCGACAACAACCATAGACCTCGCACTTCAAGTCTCAGAGGTGCGGATGATGTTCGAGGTGGAGGTATAGGAAAGTGAGTGGGAGGCGGCAGTGGAGCTAGGAGAGGTAGGACGGGTCTCTTACTACCCACACACTACGCTCATCTTGCTCAATCGTGTTCATGCAGGAGGACACAAACAAAGCGATCCTAGCCCACAATGACCCCCCAACCACAGTCCACAGGGTGAATCACTGTGGTAGTTGCTAATACTTGCCAGAAAACTCTATTGTATTCCACGATAGAGTTGAGGTGACAACAAATTTGTATGAACCTGATAATATGTACTGTCATTATAATGTAAACTTATATAATAACTTTAGATAATTATGATGAACTTTGCGTAGCTCGTGATATGCCAGTCTGGAAACACAAACACACACACACTATAATCAGTCTAGTAATTACAAGAGCAATAATGACAACAACACTGGGCTACCACGCGACCCTGGGTCCATATAATTTAACATTAAGACTTTTACAGCAAGTTGTATGTCACGTCACCTGTCTGCCCACTTCCTGCCACACGACCTCCACCCTTTCCCCCACCCCAGTTAACTCACTCTCGATCACACCACCGACCACTCACCTAAACCTACATCACCATTACACTTAATTTTCATCACCTGTCTATAGCCCTCTCCCTTCCCTCTAGCTCACACCCCTAATTCCCCTTACTGCATCCCTTAACCTAACAGCGACTCTTCATCCTGTCGCCCCTTAACTCTGTAACACCCCCCCCCCTCACACACACCCCCGCCCGCCCCGAGCCGTTCACCTGGCATCATCAGCTGGTGGCGCGGGGCGGGGTAACAGCAGCAACGACGAATCAGTGTGGCGGCGGGTGTCAACAGTGTAACGCGTGGTGGATAGTGGCTGCGGCGCGTGCTGGCTGGTGGTTGGCTTGCTCATCGCGTCTCGCTCTTACTTTCGAACCCAGGCTGAGTAGTGTCTCACGGCTGGATACTTTACCGTAATGGCAAAGAACTAGGATTCACAGTCGCACATACTCAACTGGAAAAGCCTGACACAGTAACGACTCCTAAGGGTGAAACATCCCTTACAAAACAGGTGAGTGAGATACGTTCATCTTGTGTGAATTATCAGAAATTTAAATTTTCGCTACTAGTTGTTCATTGTTGATGTGTGGTGTGTGAACAAAGATGAACAAAAGCCGTCAAGAACAAGGAAGTGCACGAGTATCCCTGTTATCCCCACCCCCCGTTGTCCTAGGGGCAGGACACCTCCCTCACCTCACCACCCACCTAACGGGTTCTAGGTAAATATTCAGTACCGTATTTGGCTTCATTCACTGTCCTTCCTTGACTAAGGTTACCAGACTTCAGAGGTGTTACGACAGTACGGTAGGTAGCCAAACAATGGAGTCGTGGTGGTGACATCATAATCTCACGGTGGTGCGTTTAACCTACATTTTCTCTCCACATCTCACTGACGTTCTTCCACTCCCGGACATAACGTTTCGAAAACGAATTGAATCTGATAAGTTCATAATGCGATGTCAACTATACTGACACACCTATCTCCTGTGTCGTGTTGCCATGATGAGACGTCAATGATTCATGAAGGGATTTAATAGTGATCAGCAAGACTCAGCAGTTCGCGCTACAGTGACGCAGAGATCACTGTTGTTTCGTTGCAGTGGGGCGCCGCGCTAGTTACGTCAGGGACACCCCACCACCCACCCTAAGTACCCGGAAAGATTGAATACTGCGACCTTCACCGCCCCAGTAGCCTGTTTGGCACTTCACCCCCCCCCCCCTGCCCCGTTACAAACCCCTTTACCTCAACATTAGATGTATTTTTATGTCAACAACACATTAAAGTTTCTACTGGTGATTTAGATTCATAAATTTTCCTCCAGTCAACACCTGCTGTTAAGAGGGAGAGGGAGTGTGACACTCGCTATATGGAGTGGTTTAGTGTATGGTCTTCACGCCACAATAACTCTGGGGTGAAGGTGCCTTGTTACCTCAGTCTCACTCCGGGGCTCATGGCTGCGTTGCATCACACACATTATTTTGTCAAACAAAGACCCCTTTCTTCTTCCGTATGCTCATCTACCAAAGCTACATAACAATAAGGCATTTGGTCTCATAATAAGGGTGCGTCCTAAAAAAGTTTCTGTCTCCTACATGCCACTTTCCACAAACTTTCTCCGAGTTTTGTAAATAACAGGATGCTGCAAGATAAGGGGTGTCACCAAGGGGGTCCAGATAGCTGTCACAGAGGTAGTGGTAGTTAAGTACCTCCACCCTTGAAAAAAAAAGGTTTACCTTGAAAAGTGGTACTATAAATTTATAAGCTCGTCAATTTCGCAGAAAACGAAAGCTACTGACACTACTGTAGCTACATCGCCGTCACTGTGCAGGTAAGTTTGTGTAACTCAGCACCTCAGTCCACCGCTCTAACATCTCAGCTATCGAAGGTGTAGTAACCGTTCATTACAGTCGTCCTACCATAACCGCCCTACCATGTGTACCTTGACATACGGTACTAAAACCACAACACCAACACAGGCTCTTAAGGTTCAAAATTTACGTTTAATTAACTCAGTTGAAGGCCAAGGTAGCTCTTAAATTACAATAGACCGATACCTTAAGTCACGTTCTCCTGTGTTGTGTTATGGTAGGACTTGTGAATCTCGTTCGTCAGTAGGAACTTGTGAACCTTGCTCGTCAGTTAACCAATGCTGCGATGGAGTATTTACACTTTTGATATTTGGTGGAATGTACGGGCCTAGGTGTACACAAGCCCTACCATGATGTACAGATCTGAGGAAAACTAATGTGCTTGGACAGTACATCAAACGAATTACAACTGAAAAAAAAATCTTGAAACCTGTCTACAGTTGTCAGTTTGTCACCAGCATACATACCATAAAAAAAAAAAATGATGAGACCTTGATGTGTCATGCGGCACCCAAACCATGTTGCTAATTTCGTGTCACTTATTTTTTTTTAGTACATAAACAATATTACTTCCTGTACGTTGTGATCAGAGGTGTTTCCTTGGGTTTGGTTGGCTAAGGGAGTTATCATCATTATAAGTTCAGTGTATCCTGTTAAGCTAAACTAAAAAGTGTAAAGTGTACCCTATTAAGCTAACCCAAAAAAGTGTACCCCTAATAAGTTAACCTAAAAGTGTACAGTATTAAGCTAACCTAAAAAGTGTACCCTATTAAGCTAACCTATAAAAAGTGTACAGTATATCCTATTAACTTAACCTAAAATAACGTAAGGGAATCATACAGTTTTGCTCACGTCGCCACCCAGGTTCCAGTGCAGTGGCCTTAACTTTAAGAACATTACTATGACTTCCTGTATTCTGTTGTCACCTTCAGTTTCCAGGGTCGTGTGTTTATTTAATGCACAGGATTTAAGAATTTTATACAGTATATATATTAATACAAGATCAGTAAAGATTAAACAATAGTAAACAGCGCAAACAACGAAAGCAAAAATGGATATGAGAATTTGAACGTTTTTTCCCACTTATACATTGTTCAGGAAATTGGTAACATTGTTTAGGAAATTGGTCCGCCCACTAACTATTGCTGTCCAGTTAAGGGACATCAGTATCCAGTAGTATTGACCGTCTTTTGTGTCGTCCAGTCAGTGACAAAGAGATTAGTGGAGGCCGGTGTTGATATTTGTACGACGAACATCTATCAACATTCCTAGAATATCTATATCAATTAGTCGTTACCCACAAGTATCAGAACACCGGGCAGAGGATAAAAGAGTTGGGGGGGAGGAGAGGTAGTAATAAGAGAGAAACAACTTCAACACAAAATTAGTAAACAAAAGTACAGTATTACAACACAGTAGGCATCACAGCTGTATATTTGTGGTAAAATAACCTATTCCTAACCTACCACGACCAGCCACTGACGTCAACTTTCCACACATCAGGTAAAGCTTAAAAGATTCTCTACGTTCACGAAATTTCCAGCAAAAATTTACGATAGCTATCCATCGCAAATTTCCTCAGAGTTGTACAGATATCGCGTGTTAAGACTGGCCTCTGAGCCTCTGTAAATCTCGTTGCCACACAGACTTCCTCGACTACGGATTTCCCGCTTCAACCTTCAACTGATTACCTCATGTTAGTCCTTCACACGAGGGCAGAACACATGATGCTTACAAATTATTTTTCCCTCTGCTTAACATCACGGTAATGATAAGTACACGTTCTTACCTAACTCTGACTCACGAACGCCGTCAACCAGTTTTTATTGTCAGTTATTTTGTTTGTTATTACACCGATAAAATATGTTTCCTTGACATAAACCACCAGCAGACAGCGGTTAATGTTCGTAACACCTCTCCGCTTACTTCCAGATTTGAACCTTCGCTCACCTTTGTCTACATTAAAAAAAAAGACGTTCTTGTCAACCGTCACACCATCAACAGTTTAACCGGAAAATGCTCATTTGAAACAATTATCCGAACAAACAAAACGTATAAATACAGTTGATTATTCTTCGTGACTGAATTAACACATTAACTTATCGCATTTAGGGGAAATCTCGTCAGGCGACCTTCAACGCCACCGACCGACTGACTCATCTCTGGAGGTCCGGCACGATCAATAAGGGTCGACCAGGACGGTATTTATAAGTTCTTTGTTTTAATCACTGATGTTGATTTTGTGAGATTTACACCATTGTTAATTTACATGAGTCAACCCTAACATGGCAAAATAATGTAGGTATATTTTTTTAACCATTACTCGGTTCAGAAACACGACAATTAGGTCAAGTACAACATTTCCCTTTCTTGTACTAACTGTTAATGCAATACAACCCTCCCCTTAACTGTAATATTGTACCAGTCTGATATGTAATTAACTGTTCGACTGCATATCTAACTTGGCAACTTATTAACATTTCACCAGTGTTATATTTGAGGTTGTAATTATTTGTAAGGTAATATCATATAACACATTTGAGGGAATATTTCACGTTACAAGTCATTACAATATTAAGGAAGTCAGTACACAAGGTTGATATTGCCTATAAAAGTGACATGCTCCCCCCTCTCCTCTCCGCTCACACACACACACCCGGTAGTCAGCTGGAGTGTACAAGTAGACCTGTTTCCTGACCATGACCAAAAGGTTGAGTAAAACCGTTCCCCTGCAGTGAAAAAAAGGGGGACAGACAGACAGGACAATGGTGATAGACTTGATGTTAATATTTCCGTTTTTGATATGGCAGTAAGAGATATTTTAATTGTATAAGCGAGAGAGAGAGGTAACAATACGTCACCAGGCAGGAATACTAAGGGAGCTATGAGATATAGGATAAGGGAGAAGAGCTGTGACGTACATAGGGAGAGTCATAACGTAGTAGGGAGTCATGACGTAGTAGGGAGAATAAAGGAGATATGAGGGAGAATAAAGAAAGTATGATGTAGTGGGGAGAATAAAACTTGTGTCTCAAGAGGGAAATCAGAAGGGTTGAGCAATCTGGACTGGTGGAGTCAGATGGTCACGCCAGGGTGTCACGCCATCAATGTGAGGACCTAGTGACGTGGAGGAGGGGGAGAGAAAAGCGGGGTAAAGGGTATGAAGAAAATGTCACACACACACACACACACAGAGGGGTTGGTCACGTGCAGTTACATGCGACTAGATGCTGTCACACAATCTGGAAAATAACATTGTCACGCTCCTCCTCCCGGAAGTGTCATAAAACGTATCCCATAATTTACATTTTATTCTCTTAAATAACACTTGTACACGCAATCGAGTTTCAGATAGTAAAAGCTAAATATTTTTGTCGTGTTGCTTCTAAAACTACAGTTGCTTCCCTTTACAGACAAAGCTCCACACCCTCACCTTCCATCTCTGTTCACAGCCAGCTCGCCGCGATTCACGAGTCATTTTACATCACTGGTCTGTGCTGATGACCACCCTGACCTGTTTGACTCCTATATTGGCTTCATGACTTTGCTGTTGGCCAATGGTGTAAGAGGATTTCAAGGTTCAGGTTAATCTCTCCAGCTTAGCAGATCCGTATACAAACGAAGGTTTTTGCGAATGATAAT